TTCAGCCCTATACATGAGCTGTAAAATTTGTTGTTTACATCTGATATTAATATACCATGAATACTGATTACACATATTTTTTCCTACTGGAAGATGATTAATATAGTGTGAATTGCATGCAAACCACTGCTTGCCAGTATTCATGTTGTATTTTACGGTATGGGTTAAAAAAAGTGATCAACTATATTTTGACAATCATTAAAAAATGAAGTTTGTAGTTTGTAAAATGTAGCCTAAAAACTAACATTTAAAAATCATCAGAATTAAAATTCAAGTCCAATTCTCTTCAACCATTACCAAAAGCCATACGGGAGAGGGTTAAGTACCCACCTGTAAAATTGCATTCCATTAAATAGATAAATTTGGTTCAAGTATAAGCGTATTCTAGAGTGACAACATTACCACCAAAAGATGGGATTGTACTTCAACAATATCTGGGAATGCAGCTTCCTGTTATAAAGGAAACAAGGCTTCCAGGTATTGTTAGACTAAAAACCCAACTTTGATGTTGGCTTAAAACCAACCTCTGCTTTAGCATTTCACGCCATAAATGTTAGAAGACATAAGAGAATATTGAAGATTATTTAGAAAGAGAAGGTTTGCAGAAGGTGCTTTAGATATATAATTTAATCAAGAGTAATCATGAGTTGATTTCTGCTCTCATATTATTTCCATGAGTTGTAAACTCCAATGGAAAAGAAATGAAAATAATATTTTCTTTACAGAAATCCTAGTTTATTTTACCATCCTTTATGAACAAAAATAGCTCTCCTTTTTATGATTAGCCAGTTTGGCTCCAATTTACTATTTTATAAAGGATGACAGTAGGACCAATCACACTTAAAGGAATCATTTAATTTAGCAAAGAAAATTGACACAATATTGTAAGTTTCACCCAAACAGTATCTAGAGAAAACAGTATCTAGAGTAAAAATGACAGGTGGTCTCAAATCTTTCACTTACCACAAAATAAATTAGGAAAGTTATGACCCATTAATTGTTCAACACGTATTTATCATCTAATCTTACCTTTGGTTTTTTTTTCTTCTGAGGGCACAAATATCACATAGCATATTGATTTTCTAAGACTGTTTTTAGGCAATTGTGTTCCAAGAGTTCTTTTGTAATGAAAGTTGATGCTAGGGGCTTAAGGATGTCAACTTCCTGTTTACTGATTTTTAAATGAAATTACTGATATGTTTTTTTTTTTTAAAAAAAGATCGAGTAGCAGATCTGGTGAATACCAGGGGAGGTGTTTGTAGATGTGCAGACACTTCCACTGGCAACACATTGTTAGATGCTTCTCCATATTCTTTCACTTTTTCCCCTGATGATGATGAATTTATTGTCATTTCTTATCGCAGTGATTAACCAGTTATTTGTCACGTCTATTAGGAAAGAATATATGTAGCTCATACTTGAATTGGGGAGTCCTTAGTGCTCTCTGAGCTTGGTTGTTTTCTTGCAGACCTTTTGTTACCCAACTAGGGAACATTTTCAGTGCAAAAAAGGAGTAGGTTTTTATATCTGTTTATATGTAGTGGCTTGCCCTATAAGAGTTGGTGCTTAGTATTTCCTTGATTGGCTGTTGTCTACTGTTTGTTTGTTGGTGTTGATGCTGGTATAAATCCCTGCTTTTCTGGGTATTGATTGCTGATGAAAAGGAAGAAAAACAGTTCTAGATTTTTTCTTTCCTTTTTAGGTTTTTTATTTATCTTGTATGTTGTGTAAATGTTATTTAACTCCATCAGTCTGTTGCCATCTGATTTGTGTGAGTGCCAAGCTCCCAGGAATTCCTCAGATGTTTTGGATTTAGGTTGCTCTAGGATGCTTGTGGTTTACCAATTGAACCTGCTCTGATAGTCTTCTATATCTTTTCATACATCATGGTTGTTGCACTCTTTAATTGAATGTTATGGAAGATTTCTGTTTTTTCTTCTTGGGCTACTACATGCATCTATTAACACCAAGATGAATTTTCTCAAATTTCATTCTCTTAGAAGTCATTTTGGATGCATTCCATACATTAGCCCAGAGATGACGAACCTTTTTTGGCCTGCATGTTATAAGTGGGGGGGGGCAGGGGGGGGGTTATGTGCGGGCGTGCCTGATCCATAATACAATGCGCGATACCCCCAGTGCAAATGCGTGCACTACAGGTGCTCCCCCCCCATTTTTTGCATGCTTTTTTCACCCTCCCCAGGCTCCAGAGGCTTTATAGGAGCCTGGGGAGGGCGAAAACAGCCCCCTCCCCCGTCCCTCCCAGAAGCCCTCTGGAGGCTTCATGGACCTTCAGGAGGTTTCCCTGAAGCCTACAGAGCAGTCAAAATGACTCTCCGAGCAAATCGGAAGTCACTTCCAATTTGCTCGGAGGGTCTTTTTGAGTGATCCGAAGGCTTGAGGGACCTTTAGGAGGCTTACCTGAAGCCTTCAGAGCAGTCAAAATGACCCTCTGAGCAAAGGGGAAGTCACTTCCAATTTGCTCGGAGGGTCTTTTTGAGTGATCCGAAGGCTTGAGGGACCTTTAGGAGGCTTACCTGAAGCCTTCAGAGCAGTCAAAATGACCCTCCGAGCAAACTGGAAGTCCATTCCCGAATTTTCGGTTTGCCCATAGGGCTGGTTTTGCCCTCCGGAGGCTTCAGGGAAGCTCATGAAACCTCCGGGGGCCCTCCGCGGGGGGCTGGGGGCTCTTTTCGCTCTCCCCAGGCTCCTATAAAGCCTCTGGAACCTCGGGAGGGTGAAAAATGGCTTTAAAAAAGGGTGAACTCAGCTGGCCAGCACGCACATGCACATTGGCCAGCTGACAGGGCAGTGCCTCACGTGCCCTGACAAATGGCTTCGCGTGCCACCTGTGATACATGTGCCATAGGTTCACCATCACTCCTTTAGCCCATTTGAGGTACCTTAGTTCAAAACTGTTGTCCTGTGATGCACTGTCTTGCACATTTAGTAATATATAATGACTTTGACACAGATCTTTAACTTATCAGTGTTTCTTTCTGTTTTTCAGTGATAAGTGGTTATGAGAGTTGTAATAAATATGAAGTAAAAAATCCCACGGGGCAGTGGATATACTTTGCAGTTGAAGAAAATGATGACTATAATCTATACCGTTACGGAACTGCCAGATCATTTATCATAAAACTCTTTGATAGTACAAACCAACCAGTCATGCAATTGTCAAGGAACTTCCATTGTATCTGTTGCTGCTTTCCTTGTATTTGTTGCCTACAAAAGGTAAACTCAACCCTGCTGCCCATTTGGACTGTTTTGTTCAATAGTTCTGCGTGTCACTAGAATATCAAGTTACATGCAACTTCACAGAAACCGAAATTACCATTGTATTTTTTTCTCAAATAGTTATTATTATCATACCATAGTACTTAATTGTGAAGATTCTTGTTACATATACTTATGTGCTATGTATGTATCTTGACTTTCTTATAGATCTTCTCCATATTTATGGGGATATTGGGGTGGTGATGGTAATGGAACCAGAAACAGAGGATGATACAATAATAATTAATATACAATTACTTTACACAAGTCATTGTATCCCCCTAGAACTCCTCTATAAGAGCTACTATGGTATAGCTGTTAAATGCTGGAATAGATTAGGGAGACTCAGGTTTATATCTACACAAGGGGTGTCAAATATAAGCTACAAAAAACTGAGTATTAGGTGGAGACAAAGAGGTTGAGGGAACACAAACTCTTTATTGTCATCTAGTGGTGGTTAAGAGTTTTGCAATCCAGATATACTAGTGTACATAAGGATATTCATTCAGTGATTTTGAGCAAGTCAACCTCTTGTTGCTTGTAACTTCATACTAACATAAAAAGAAAACAAAAATCAGAGGCATACAATCCAAAAACAACATATTAAAAATATTCTGTTTTCTATTAACAATTCCCTTTGATTATTCATTGCCTTGTTTTTCCACATGCTTTCAATCCTAACTATTGTAAAAGTTCCTGTTAACATGTCTGAATGAGAGACAAAATGCTGCTCTTTATTCTAATTCTGCTGCATGTATTTTTCCCTTAAAGCTTGAGGTTCAAGCACCACTAGGCACAGTCATTGGATATGTTAAGCAGAAGTATTACGTCTGCACACCCAGATTTGTTATCCAGAATGAGGCCGGAGAAAACATTGTGAAATTGGTTGGACCTAATTTATGCAACGTTCGTTTTAGGGATGTTCCTTTTGAGGTAAGATGACATTCTAAACTCTGTCTTTGGCCACCCTTCAGTGTTGGAATATAATAAGTTTAAATATTGATAAACCTATGATTTTTCCTATTCATAAAAGCAGAAATAGGATTGCTGCNTCCCACACCCTCTGCATGCCCCGTTTTTGCAAAAAAAAGGGGCCAGTTTTTCACCATCCAAACCCTCCATGCATTGCATTTTTGCATTCCCCAGTCCCCAGGAACATTTTAGCAAACTCTCTGCATACTTCTTTTCCACAAAAAATGGTGTGTGCAGAGCATTTGGGAGACCTGTAGAGTGTTCTTGGCAGCTGGGAGGGCAAAAACTTTTTTTAAAAATTTACCTCTTCAAAATCTTGGTGCGTCTTATACTCCAGTTCAGAGTACGAAAAGTACGGTCCCTGTTTTCCTATCATTCACTTCATTTTTTTTTCTTGAATACACTTAACTTTTCTTATCTTTCTAGTTGCAGACTTCCAAACACTCTTAATTTTAGAAATATTTGTGGCATATAGAGCATTCTCTAATGTTAAGCTCAGAACTAATCATTTTTTGCACATGTTATCCAGTATTCCTCATGTACAAGCAAAGCTCAATTTTCCATCAAACATGTTAATGTTTTCTATGCAAACAATAATTTCTAATGTAAAGATATCTTACAAGCCAGCATAGGGAACATGTATGGGGCACAGGACATAGCTCTTTAGATTGGCCCCTATCCAGTTCAATAAATTCATGATTTTAAGATCAATTACAAAAAAGCTTATCAATTCCCAGTGATTTCAGCAGAGTGTGAAATGCATATTCTAATTATTCAGAGATTCAGAATTGAAAGGTAAAATGTGACTTGAACCATATAGCTTTGGAATATAGGTAGTCCTTGACTTACACTACATTTGGAACCAGAATTTCCATTGCTAAGCAAAACTGTTGTTAAGCGAGCTGCATCTGCTTTTCTGATTCTTTTGCCGTGATTTTAGGTGAATTACAGCAGTTGTTAAGTAAGTAATGCAGTCATTAAGTGAATCTTGCTTCCCATTTACTTTGCTTGTCGGAAGTTGGCTAAGAAGGTCACAGATGTCAGTCATATGACCCCAGAATAATGCAACCATTGTAAATACATGCAGGTTGCCAATTGCCCAAATTTTGATCTTGTGACCATGGGGATGCTGTAGCAATAGCAATAGCAATAGCAGTAGACTTATATACCGCTTCATAGGCCTTTCAGGCCTCTCTAAGCGGTTTACAGAGAGTCAGCATATTGAATTTATGTTAATGAATAAACATTCAATGGTAATAGCAGTAGACTTATATACCGCTTCATAGGCCTTTCAGGCCTCTCTAAGCGGTTTACAGAGANCTCTAATTTTTACCAAGTTTGGAATATATGTTGCTCTGAGCCCAATTAATACATAAGCTAAATAAGTTAATTCCGCAAAATTCTTTACCCAAAATACTATTTAATCAGTACAGATAATCCTTAAATTACTACCAGTCATTCAGTAATTATTCAAAATTACAATGGCATTTACTTATGATCTGTACTTGAATTTATGGCTGCTGCAGCACCCTGAGGTCACGTGAATAAAATTTGGGCACTTGGCAATGTGCCTGCCCTTATGACCCTTCTATCTTCCTCCCCATCCTTCCCCATTCAGTCCCTTGGATCATGGTCTGAGAATTATGGCTTCTCCCATAATGGTGCTTGCTTCAGGCATGGCGCTATCTGACTTCTGAATAGTGAAAGGAGGAGGCCATGGAAGGCAGACCATGTGTGAGCTGGCTATGTGCTGCAGTACAGCCTCCTAGGGCTTCCCCCACTGCCTGAGGCCCCATGTTTCACTTGATGATCACAACAGAGAGAGATGGAATTTGTGATAAGTGGGTGCCTTGCTTAACAACCACCACAAACTACAACCATAATTCTGGACTCAATTATTATCAAAAGTCAAGGACTACTGTAAATCAAATGTAAACATACCATACCACAGCAAAGGCAGAGGCAAATCATGAAAAGCATGCTTGTAGTGTATCCCTATGCATTGAAGGACTGTGTAGATGATAACCATAGCCGAAAGTAATTTATGGCAATGTCATTTGTTAAATAGCTCCAAGTTTTGTTTTTGTCACTCACTCTTGTGTTCTATCCATTTCTATAATATTCATTCTAACTGTACATATTTTTTTTCTGCAAATATAGATTTTTATGTGCTGATCAACTTAATATCATTTTTGTCCTGACATATCCAACTCTAATTTCCATGTAACAAAATGGGCAGATGCATGGCTTCTTTCAACAAATACTCATCTTCATGAATGACTCTATATTATCCACTACGTTTGTGCCAGCATTTGCATGCTGTAAAGTTTTTTCATCTATTTTTCCCAACTTCAATAAGCATTGCCCTAAAGTAAAGGTAAAGATCTATCTCGCCCAGCTGTGCCTGATTCTAGGGGATGGTGTTTGTTTCCATTTCCTAGCTGAGGCAGCCAGCGCTGTCCAAAAGTGCTTCCATGGTCATGTGGCCAGCATGATTAGATGCTAAGGCACACAGAACACTCTTACCTTCCCACCCAAATGGTACCTATTTACAGGTGAAACTCGAAAAATTAGAATATTGTGCAAAAGTTCATTTATTTCAGTAATGCAATTTAAAAGGTGAAACTAATATATGAGANTGTGTTGTTCTCCGGATTTTCGGATATAGCTTGGTAATCGTTTTTGCTGTATCTTATGCAATTGGTTGCCGTGTTTCAGTAAGTATTTTACAGCTTTTTGAGGTGGATCAGACTGACTAAGACACTGAGCTTGTCAATCAGAAAGGTCAGAAGTTTGGTGGTTCAAATCCCTAGTGCCACGTAACGGAGTGAACTCCCATTACTAGTCCCAGCTTCTGCCAACCTAGCAGTTCGAAAACATGGAAAAATGCAAGTAGAAAAATAGGAACCACCTTTGGTGGGAAGGAAACAGCGTGTGCCTTTGGCATTTAGTCATGCTGGACACATGACCACGGAGACGTCTTTGGACAGCGATGGTTCTCCGGCTTTGAAACAGACATGAGCACTACCCCCTAGGTTTGAGAACGACTAGCACATATGTGCGAGGGGAAGCTTTACCTTTATCTTTTTAGACTGGAAACCATAGTTATGAATGCTAATCATGCTTTTATTATAGAGGTACAGTAACAGAATATTACAAGTCTGAACGCATCTTCTAAATCCCTGCTTTTATCTGAAAAGAACAGAACCACCACCACAGCAAAAAAAAAAACCTAACAAATTAGGAAGAGTCAAGTCTGATGCATTTTCTCAAATTACATTTCTGATTTGGGATTCAAATTTCTTTTGTCTGACTTTTGCATTTGTTCAAGCTGCTCTTCCTGTTCTTCAAGATTATTCTTATAGTCCATTACAGTATTCCACTATATATCCAATTCCATAGTGATCAGAGGACTTATCTAAGTTCATCTCTAGAACTGAAAGAGATTCTTGTAAGTTGGTAATATATTTTAAAGTGTCTTGGATATTGACTCATCTGATACTTAAGTATCTTCCTTCCATTTTTGCCTAATTTCCTTTGAACCAGTTACTGGAGTTCTTTAGCATACCAGTTTGAATTTGGAAGTCCTCCTGATCCAAAGTTTTATGAAAGAGGTTAATTGTCAGACAGAATATTCCCTCCCCCAACATTGCATTTATCCAGAATGTTGCATAATTTTTCCTTGAATTCATATCTGCTTTTTCCATTATCACAGCTCACTGAAATGTATCATGCATTGTTACTTTCATATCATACAAATCAAGTTAGATGAAACTAGTCCATTTTTTCCATATATTTATCTCTTTCATTCATAATTAAACTTACAGTTCCTTTTCTAGGCAAGTATCAACAAATTCTACTCCACAAGTTTAGACCTTCTTCATTCTGGTAGATTACATCTTTCCTTTCCTCATTCTCTGACGTTCACAGGCACAGAACATACCGTATTTTTCAGAGACTAAAACATACCTTTTCCCCCCAAAAAAGAGGGTTAAAATCTGGGTGCATCTTATACAATGAATACAGTATTTTTGATCCCCCGAAACCCCAACCCGTACCTCCTGTTTTTCGTAAAAATTGATGTGCAGAGGGTTTGGGAGTCCTGCAAAGTGCTTCTGGGGCATGGGGAAGGCAAAAACAAGCAAAAAAATGGGGCCTGTTTTTCACAAAAATGGGCTGTTTTTGCCCTCCNCTATGGTGCATTTTTATCCTTATATATTACAAAATGAAGAAATACACAAACAACTAGTTGAAGTAACTTTCTTGAATATTTTTTTTACTTGTTCAAAATCAGATAATCCCTTTAAATCAAAAATCAGCAATTGGAAAAATCATCAGGAAATGGAAAGGATTTGCAATAGAAACTACATCAGGTGCCAGCACCTTCATAACCCAATTCCCAATGGACCTTGAGGTTAAAACGAAAGCCCTTTTGCTTGGAGCTTGCTTCCTACTGGTAAATCTTTTGGTAATCTTATTATAAATTAAGTTTGAAAAAGTCTTGCTTCCTAACAAGGAATAATCTGGAGTTCATCTAAATCATGTTTGTTTTATTTCAATAGGATTTTATGTTTAATGAACGAACTGGACCGCCGCGCCGCGATCAGAGATAACCAGATGTATACCATTTTTCCTGACTTCAGAAAAAATTCAATACTGCTGCTTTTGTTTCTTATCTAGCGGTTAATCCAGTGGTGAGATTCAAAAATTTTCACTACCGGTTTGGTGGGCATGGCTAGGTGGGTGGCATGTGACTGAGTGGGTGTGGCCAACATGAGATCACTTATGCCCATTCCCAATAAGTAATATCCCCCTCACCTAGCCACACCCACAGGAAAAGGTAGGGACCTTTTTTGGATTTTTAGCTATTTACCCGGGCCCTCCCTTCACTAGTCACCCCCATTTCCTCCCCCCCCCACTTCTTTGGTTGCTTACCTTTCAGGGTGGCTGGTCTGAAGAATTCTAGGAGTTGAAGTCCATGCACCTTAAAGTTCCTAAGGCTGAGAAACACAGCTTTAGAATATATAATATATTAGCAAGACTCTTTTATAACTGCTCATAGTACTTCTAGAGGAACTCTAATGATATTTCCATATGAAAGATCATACAGCTAACTAGAAACAATTTCCTTTTCTTTGGTGCCTTGATGGATATCAACATTTGAGACTATAGCTGTCAAAAATAATGTAAGTGTATACAATTATTTTGATTAAGTATAATTCAAATAAAAACCTGAATAATAATAATTCCACTGTAATATATATTGGTTTTCAAATACTTGTAAGATTCAATAAAACATTTTAGCACTTTTCTTTATTCACTACATGGGTGAATAAAAATAAACTGATTTAATGTATTTTTATCCTGTTCTTTGTGTTTGCACTGACTAACTCAACGTAGCTAATAGCAAGTACAAAAGTTCAAGATTAAAACAAATTTTGAAAGCTGTAGTTAAAAGTTATATGAAGCATATTGGCAGTTCTAAAGGCACGCTCATAATTGTGCCTGATGGGTCTCGTAGATGGGCCTCTGAAAGCAATGGAATCTTCAGAAGGGCTTCTCTCATGTTTCAATTCCAGATAGGTTATTTATTTGAAGTTTGTTATATAAAAAGCAGTCCTTGGGACAACGCTTCCTATATATGACAAAAGATGCTGATCTGCAGGCAAAAATAGGAAGGAATACCAAGATTATTTCACCTAACATTTTTCATATCCTTTGCACCAAAATATATTGCCATGAATTTGGTTGCCAGTTTTACGTGCATTCTTCTGGTAACCAATTTTACCACATCAATTTTGATTTATTTGGCATATCTGTGGGAAAGATAAGTTTCTTTGAAAGAGATTTTTGATGTGAATTGAATCCTCCAGAATTGTCTTTTTCTCTACTCCTGTGTTATTGGATTTTCAGAATGGTAATTATCTGAGTAAAAAAGTGATTCCTTTTGCTACATAGTAGGGACAATTAATTTTGAAGAAAGAGTGTGAATAGGTGTTTAGTCAACAGCTGTAGCTTAAAATTCAAGGGGAGGATCAGGTTACGTTCATTTTATTCTGAATTTTGAAGCAGCGAATGGCTGCAATGCCAGATTTTAGATTAGGTGACACCCTAAGCAACAGAGGGGTGAGAGACCCATATTAAAAAGTTACATCAGAAAGTATTAGAAAGATGTATACCAAAATAGGACATTGACTTGACACAAAAAAACTAAATGTGTGTGTGTAGGTTTTTTTAAAAACAAATATCTTACCTCTACGGGGAGGAAACCTTCCTGCTCACCAGGACCTACAAGAAACTTAAAGTCTGAAGAGACACCATCTTAAGTGACCTCACATTCCTATGCAACTGCCTAGAGAAAAGCCTGATCACCATATGCTTCCAACTAAAATTCCATTCAAAAACCTCAGCCACCAAAAGGATCCTGAAAAGAACTAAATTAGCCCAAATCAGAAACAACTCCACATGAAAAGATTCTTACTAGACCAAACCAACCGAGACCTACTCATTCTTCACCTCAAACTCAGCAACAAAATCCACCCAAACTCTGAGACAAATCCAAACAACTCTGGAGAGCTGAAACAGAAACGTCCTACAAGACAGACCAACGCACCAACAAACTCTACAGACTAGAAAAACAACAGAAGGCCAACCCCCCCTCCACAGCCACTCATTAAACAAACAGTACACAACATATCAGATGGAACCCTCACCACAGCTGAAACCAATGTCCTTTCCAGAGGATTCAACTTTGCAGTCACCCCTAAACACATCAAAAATGAAGACATCATATGCGGAGTTGAAGCTACACTCACCAAAATCAACCTAGATGAAGCCAATAAAATCAGACTTGCAGTCAGCACCGTCCTTTGCTCCAGAAATCCAGCCAGAAGCAACTTACAACAACAAGAAGAAAATGCCCCAAATTCTATGGCCTCCCCAAGATACACAAAGAAGGAACACCACTCAGACCCATAGTCAGCTCCATAGGCTCACATCAACAGAATCTTGCCAAATTCCTTGCCAAACAACTCCAACCCTACATAGAATCCATCACATACATGTACAAAACTCACTCCACTTCATAGAAACAATAAAGAAACAAAACCTATAACACAGCGACCTACTCGCGAATTTCAATGTCATAATGGACAAAATGGACAAAGATACAAACAGATAGAAGGAGCACCCATGAGATCACCCTTCTCACCCGTCATCACAAACTTATACATGGAACATTTTGAAACTAATGC